TTGGGATTTGCCGGATTCGAACCAACATCTGGATGATTAAAAGTCATAAGTATTGCCTTTATACTAAACCCTTAAATTATCAAATACTATTACACAATTGAAGATAAGTCCTACCTCCTCAAGTTATAATAGCTTAAATAATAAATTAGTACCCTCAACAAAAACCCCCCCCGCAAGCTTGCGGGGGGTTTAGAAGTGGGGGGGACTCTGGTCATTTATCACAATAATCAGGGGCTGAGGCTTAATAATCTTTTAAGCCCACCGTTAATTCGCAACCCCCCCTCCCCTGAGGGCCCCCACAACTATGTTGTGGGGGTCTCCCGAGGAGGGGGGAGTGGTTGTTCTTTTGTTTAACCTAAGGCTCCTGAGGCGGAGCCTTATCACAACCTTACTCGATTATTTTTATTAAGAACCTCAATAGTATACGGAAATGTACAAAAATAGTCAAACAACATCTACAAAATGTCAGTATAAAATTCCACCCTCAAAACCTACATGATGGTTGTCAGTTAAATGGTAAGCAAATATTCTTCATAAAGCTACCGCTAAGAAAATTGTCCCTATTATAACGTGTATCCCATGAAAGCCTGTAGAAAAGAAAAAACATGTACCAAAAGCACCATCACTAATAGTGAAAGATGATACACTATACTCAACACCTTGGAAGCCTGTAAATATTATTGCTAATAAAATAGTGGCGATTGAACCATATAGAGCTCCTTCTCTTTCTCCTTTAATTAAAGCATGATGAGCGTAAGTGATTGTCGCACCACTAGATAAAAGTATCACTGTATTTAGAAGAGGTAATTCGAAAGGATTTACAGGTTCTATACCTATAGGTGGTCATTGAGCTCCTAATTCAACAGTAGGTGTTAATGCGCTATGAAAGAAAGCTCAAAAAGATAGCTAAAAAAAATAGAGCTTCAGATACTATAAATAGTATAATACCTAAATTTAATCCCCTTTGCACTGCTAGAGTATGATCCCCTTAAAAAAGTTCCTTCAGATATTATATCTCTAAATCATAAAAACATAGCTGAAACTAGTCCAATTAAAGCTATGTAATATAAATAATGAATATTATTAAAATTATGCATAGATAACGCACCAGTAGTTGTTAGATTTAATAGACAAACACTAGTATTTAAAGGTCAAGGAGATGGAGATACTAAATGAAAAGGATGATCCTGGAAATTACTTCTTATTAAATTAGTCATTTGAATCCATTTATTATAATAAAACAATTAATTTAATTTACATTTTCTATAAATATATATATGTATATGTATATATATAGATTACAGCTATAGAGCCGCAAGGCGTCTCCCTTCCCCCTCCCCCCCCCGCAAACCTGCCCCTGCAGTACTGCAGGGTCCCCCACCCTGCAGTACTGCAGGGGGGGGTGGGGAAGGGGGAGCGAGGGGTAGCGAGATTTTAATTTTTGAACGCTGATGGAGGACATAAATTTAAAGAAGATATATCTTTTAAATTTTTCTCTAGAGAATCACCACCCATATTTTGTTTTTGAATCTATTTTTAAAGCACCTTTTCCCAATTCAAATACAAATCCTGCTGATATAACAAACATAAAACCTAGAATAACCACTAGACTATAGAGAGTATTTATACCTAAACTTCCTACATAAGGGTACATGGTAAATAATTCAATGTCCAGAATTACAAAACATATCGCCTGTGCAGCTATAGGTGAATCGAAAGGGAATCTAGTTTGATGAAAAGAATGGAATCCACACTCAAACTCTGAATTTTTTTCTTGATACGTTTGAGCCAAATTTCTCATACCTATAAATTTAATATTTTGATTTTAACTATTGTTTTCTGTTCGTATTCATTCTATTACGGATTTTTTTTATTTTATCTAATCCTTCTTTAGTTAAATGCGATTTATTTTCCATTAATCTTACGACTTCGCAAAAATCTATGAAATCTAAACTTTTATTTCCTTTTAAAGGATATTTAATGAAAAATGGAACAATAATATCTTTTATACCAGAAAAATTAGTTACTTTAAAATCAATAACACCTCTAGGATCTAAACTTGTATTCCCACATCCTAAATATTCAATTAAGCTTTTTATTAAATACTCATCTCTATTACTTTGAGTTAAAATAAAACTTAATTTAACTGCTTCTCCTAATTTAGATGTTTTAGACTTAAAAACTACGACACTAAAACAACCCTCTGCATCAACAAATCCAGATAATTAAAAAGGATTCGGAATTTGAGGTAACGATGTATCAGGTCTTAAAACAGTATTAATACCAGGAAAAGCAATACTTAAATCATTATTTAAACCATTATTTATTACAGCCTTTATAGCTACAAGTTCCAAGAGTCCTTCTTTTGTAAGATGACTTTTGTTTTTAATTAAATTATGAGCCAATTTAAACAACTTATAATCAGCTTGTTTTTTAGTTATTATGGGGTATTTATCAAAATGATTAATTATAATATCTAGACCTTTTAAAGATTCTACTCGGTATTGTGCAGAATCCTTAGCCATAAGAAATACATTACCTACACCAAAAAATTCTTTAATGTTATTTAATAAACTTAAGTCTTTTTTATGTAAGTTTATTATAAATCTACAAACTACACGTCAACCTGACTTATACTTATTATCTTTTATTATAGTTAACATAAAAGAACCTTCACCGTCTACAAATCCCGAGACATACGAAGGATTTAGTTTAGATTCTAAGGTACTTAAATTTCTTTTAAAATTTATAGGGTTAGAAGGGATTTTGGCCTGATAACTTCTTTCGAAGCCCACTAGAGTACATCTTAACATTGGAGTATTTTTCTTTATTTAAATATTCAATGCAACTACCGTTTACTCGTTTGCTCTTTTACAGCAATATAGAGCTTGCGCCCACGTATTACTGATTTAGATCCGCGGTTGCCTATTATACTCTCGTATATCTTCTGACTTATTACTATACCTGAGTAATTACTTCAGCCACAATTAACCTTTCGATTAATGCTTAGTATCAGAAGCTTTAAGGTTTTCCCGGAATTTGGAAGGTTTTACCCAATTAATTGATTTCCCATTTCAAATTTTAGGAATGTGAGGAGCAAATACTAGATTAATTAATAAAAAAAGTAAAGCAATTATAGATACAAATAAAATAAACAATGTCATACTACGCATTTAAGTACTAAATAAAACTTGTACCAATATGGTCAATGGTGTTAGGGTTAATAAATTAGTTAAGTTAAAGAAATTTCATTTCTTTAACTATAATTAATATATTACTTCAGTATATTACTATACTGTCCAGACTATGTCTTTACCTACTTAGTTTAAAATAGCTTACTATTATTAAAGATCTAATCTTTAATATCCGTAATGCCATATTAGTGGTAAGTAAGTATTGGATATTTATATAGGATTATTGTTAGTATTACTCACCTAATAGTCGTTGAACGTTTTTATCTCATATCATTCCTCCCCTTCAGCGAAGCTGGAGGGGAGTAGCGAGGAGAACTCATCACTTTCGAGGGACCCCGTCCCCCTTCGGGGGCGGGGGCCCAAACCCCCGCAAGCTTGCGGGGTTTGTGAGGAGATCTCTCTACTCTAATAATAATACTAAGATAAACTTCGCTGCAAATTACCAAGCAAACAGCAGGGTGTTGATATTCTTGCAATTAATCCAATGTTTTTTAAAAATTTGTGCCATTATTAATAATAGTCAAATTTTCCGGGCAAGCCTATTACATCTCGGCTAAGTACTATAAATAACAAAATAGAGCTGGGGCATAGCCCTAGAAATTTATCTTAGTGTATTCATACCAGATTTTATTTCACGAATCTTCTCTACTCCCTCTTCGGTTAGATGAACCTTAGATCTAATTAACTCGGCTACTCTACATCAATCTTCAAAATCCTTTCCTTTAATACCTTTTATCGTATGATTTTTAAAAAATGGAAGTATTTTATTTAAGATATCCTCAAATTTTCTAACAATAAATACTCCTGACCCTGACTTACTATTACCACTATGATAATTGAATAGGCCACATCCAAAAAAAGAAATAAATGATCTTAACAGTAACTCATCTCCACCCGGATGGGTGGATACCTTAAAACTTAATGAAACTCAATATAATTTACCTTTACCCTGTTTAGCCATTTCAACTAAGAAACAACCTTCTTAAATAACTTAGTTAAGTTTAATTAGGGAGAAAACCACGCAGCGAGCTGCGTGGAGAGGGGTAATCTCTACCCCCTACGCAAGTAATCCCTTAAGTTAAGATAAAAGATATTTTTTTTTTCTATTTTATACTTCATGGAAGGAATTATATAGGGTTCAAGGATTATTCTTAGTTTTGGCATACTCCCTTCTCGAATGTAAATTCGAGGTTGAGTTGGAGTATGGAAACGCAAAGTACAATTTAATTGATATCTGATTATAAGCACATTCATTATTTTGATTACCTCAGGTATTGTAAAGGAATCTGTACATAATAACAAACCGTGCCTACTTCCTTGTCCATCTCCCATTATAATATGAGCCAGAGCTACGGGTGTTAAAAGTTCATAAATATTTTCAGGAATTACTTTTACACCTTCTTTAGAATAAAATAAAGAATGTAACTCAGTTAAACAAGGCATTACTCTAGTATATAATTCTCAACTAATGTTTTCCTTTCCAAATCTACTTCGAACTCTTAACTTAGGATTAGCTGAACAATAATGAGATATGGATCAAAAAACAAATCAAAAATATTTACCATTAGCACCAGATTGCAAAAATCCTAATTGTGCATTTTTAGACCTTGCACCTACAAAACGTAGTCAACCATCTGATAAAATTAATCCTATGATAACACTACGTTCATAAGAGGGAAGTTTTATCATAGCTAGTTCATTTCTCGAAAATTTATCCCCCACTGTAGATCTTAAATTTATACCTCACACCTCTAAGGATAAATACTTTTCAACCCCATATGAAGAGTGAACCGTATGCTCATTAACCTTGATGGCTGGAATATTAGTAGAATAAGGACGTGAAGAACAATAATTTTTATATAGAATTTGTAATTTTTTATTCAAGCCACATCGAGTCTTAAGATTTTTAGAGCTGCCCCCTAAAATACTTATACCTAATCTAAGGTTGTGTTTTGGAGCACCTGTAACAAACCCAGCCATTCATTCAGGGTGAGGAATAGTAATATTTTCTATCAGGGGTCTAGCGACAGGGACAGTATTAGGGAAAATAGTATTCAAAAAATCCGATAAACCTAAATTCATCGAGGCACGAAGATTAACAATTTCTTGTAATCCCTTGGCAGATAAATGGTCCCCTTCATATACTTTATGGATTATTTGCTTAAATAATATGAAATCGGATTTTTTTTGAGTTATTAAAGGGTAGTTATCAAAATGCGAAATGATTTTTAAGATATCGTCTAAAGATCTTACCACGAATGTTGAATCCTTAGTACTAATATAAATATTTCCTATACCTCCAAAATAATCTTTAATACGCATTAATAATAAATTATCTCTTGAGTGAACTTTTATCTTGAATGAAGGACGGACATAGAATTTACCATTAGGATTTTTTTGAAGGCTAACATTGAAACAACCCTCTGCATCTGAATAACCTGATATAAATCAAGGTGAGATAGGATTGATCTTATTATGATTAATTGTTGAGTATCTGAAGATTTGTTGTGGAATAGTAGAAGATAATCGAGTCATATCTCGCAACCCCATCCAGCTTCGCTGGAGGGGGGAAGTTCGATTATGATTAACGGAGGCAATCGAACCACGAGTACCTGACAATCAATTGTACGAACTAAAGAGAGGAGAACGAGAGCTTGTTAAATAAGTGTATGATACACTTCGCTACCCCCCCCTTCGGGGGGGGGAATTTGTATTTAATAGTAGTGATAAATTACGAGCAAAATGCTCCTTAGCACATAGGAAGAATAGGCGGTTATTGGTACCCATACTTAATAAGAATATGACCTCAGACGGAATAAAATTTTATTCTGTTTAGGTCAAGACTTATTTTTTATTTATTTATTTTTTTTTATTTTTATAGTCCTAATCGATTAGCAGAAAGTTCCCCTTTAATATATTTTCTCCTCCCCCCCCGCAAACCTGCGGGGAGGGAGAAGAGGAGGTAAAGATACTTTGTTGAATAAGAAAGCACAAGAGAACAAGCTATAGTTTTTAGGATACGACAGGTGTCATCGTCTGCATAAGAAATATTATTTTAATCTAAGTATAAGTCTTCTTATTCCTCTTTTTCAATTTTCCTTACCAAAACGGGTTTAGAGTCTAATAAAATAGATTTTTTACTTAAAATACGTCTTGTTAAGACTTGACGCGTCATCCCTAAAAACTCTGCACATTCTTTTATAGAAGGAAATGTCTTAATAAGGTTAGCTTTATCATCTATAATTTCAACTTCAATGCTAAGACGTGAAGAATAATATTTATTTAAAGACTTAATAAGGACTCTACCATCACTCATTACTTCCAAATTAGAAGGTCCAGATAATAATTTGGCAATTTCTTTATCTAAAGGAGTTCTATTTAGCCTTACTTCTGCTTTTTCGCTACTAGATAGTCTTCTTCTATTCATTTGATCTAAGATACCATTAACTAGTATAAGCCCTTCTGGTAAATAATGTAAACCTTTCTCCTTAAGTTGAAAAATAATCTTTCAGTCGTGGTAATCCTTAACCTTCTTACTTTGCCAATTTAAACTATCTAAAAAAGGCATTAACACCTTTTTTATGTACCCAGCTTGAGTAATCTTAACGATTATCACATCCCTTAAGTGGTTTTTCTCTTTCTTATCGACGTAAAGGTATGCAAAAGTTAAGTTACTTATAGTCGAACTCTCAGGATTAGCTAAATTGTTTAAAAATTCTTTTATCGCCTCCATTAAAGATAAATCCAAAAAACTTTGTGTTAAGCTAAACTCCATAGTAATGTTATAACCTCCTCTGTTAATAACAAAGAAGGAACCCTCAGCTTCTATAAATCCTAATAATCAATAAGCACTAATTATTAAATCATTTTGTTTATAATAATCCTTCATATCATAATTCGTTCTAAGAGAGTTCATATTCTTTTTAATACTCTCGATTTGATTTAATATTTCTTTAGTTAATTTATGAGATGTATAAAGCTCAAAAGCTTTTTTAAAATCTAAAAAATTTAAACCTTTAGAAGATTTTAAAGGATATTTAGTAAAAATTCCGATTAGGGAATTTATTTCATTTTTCCGTATAACAGTGAAAAATGCCTTATTATCCCTAACCCAAACTTTACCCATTTCCAATTCTTTATGAATAAAATCCAACGCACCCTTATCATCTAGATGAAGACCAATTTCAAATTTAAATGCGCAATGTCCCTTATTGTTAAAAGAAATCAAGAAATAACCTTCCCCATCTGTAAACCCAATGAACCATTGTAAAAATTGATATCTACCTGATGCCTTGTCGGATATATCTTTTACCTGTTGAGCATTAGTTGAGAACAATCTACGAGGTGTTCAACCATAAACAGATTTACCTGAAAAGTGTTTACGGTTATTGTACGAATTATTATTAATACTTAATAGATTATAAGAAAAGATAAAAAAAGGGGTTTCGTTTAAAAGGGGTCCACGAATAGTATAAAAAAAAATAAAAAATAAATAAGTTAACAGTATGCTTTTATTTAGTAATGAATGATTAAGGAAATTTTCATATTCACCCATACTTAATCATTCACGGTTCATAAATATAAATAATAATATTACTATTGTAATAATAGAAATAGTAATAGAGAAAGGACTAGATATAGTATATCCAGAAGATAAAGGAGTAGAATAAGTCAATCTATCATATACTATTTCTTTTCCAGCTTCGTCGCGGAGTCAGGTGTTTTTATCGTATACTGTTTTTAATTTATGTCCAGGAGAATAGAAAAAAATCTCTTTAATTATATTCAAATAATAAACTGCTCCAACTACACTAGTAAGTATTGCTATTAGGGATAAGAAAATATAGCCATTATCTAAAGCAGCACTCAATACCATCTGTTTGGCAAAAAACCCTACAAGAGGCGGAATACCCGCAAAAGAAAAGATAGTAATAGCTAAACTTAAAGACAATAAAGGGTTTAGATAGAAATACCCTTTCAATTGACTAATTAATTGTACAGGTGAATTATTTATATCTAGTAGATTTTTATACTCTTTATTATTTCAAACATAACCATATAAAGAGAATCCTATAGTAATTAATATAATAAACACATTTAAATTACTAAAAGAATATTGTATTAAATAAAATTATAAATGCTTGTGTGGACTCCACACTTCGTGTTGAAACACTTAAAGCTAATAAAATAAAACCTAGATGAGAGATTGTACTATATGCAAGCAATCTTTTAATTCTAAACTGTGTTAAACCTACAAACAGTTCCTATTATTAAGGAAAGAAAAGAACTTACTAGTAGTCCATAGATTCAGCTAAATTCTGATAGATAATTATTTGTATGATAAACTAATTCTAGCAAAAGGATAAAAATAGAAATTTTGGCTATAATTGCCACAAATGTTGTTACTATTGTAGGGATTGCATCATAAACGTCCACGGCGGTTAAATTTATCGTTCAAATTAAAGAAAAGTACGACTTTATACATATAAGCAATTTTATTTTAAATATCTACCTTTATTCATTCCTACTTTTATTTGACGAATTTGATCAAAACCTTCCTTAGTTAAATGAAACCTTTGTTCGCGNTCATTCCATTTNCGCTACTTTAGCTCAATCTTTAAAGTCTTGTGCTTTCACACCAAGGATACGGTATTTATCAAAAAAAGGTAAAATAATTTCCAAATTATGNTTTAATGATTGACATCTAAACTCTATATAATCTTTATAACTATNANNTTGACCACATCCAAAGAAATTTATTAAGCTTTTTAATAATAATTCATCTCTAATATGTTGAGTTAATACAAAAACTAATACTACACGACTTCCTGCTTTATATAATTTAGATTCCCTAGTGCTAACTTTAAAACAACCATCACCAGATGTAAAACCGGCTACTCACTGAGGATGTAATTTAGTATTATCTAATGGTAATGGTGGTCTTGATACAGCAACACTAGTAGGGAAGGCTTCTTTTAGTAATAAACTTAATCCTTTATTAAGAGAAGCTCTAATATTTATTATTTTTTGTAAACCTTCATTTGTTAAATGTTCCCCACGTTGCATCATCATAACTACTTCCTTAAATAATAAGTAATCAGAATATTTTTGGGTTTTTAAAGGGTATTGATCAAAAAAAGGAATTACTTTGGTTATAATTTGGGCTAAAGAGCTTATAGTAAACTCACGACAATTATTTCTTTCTTTACCTATTCTTCCTACTCCTCCAAAATAAGCTTGTATAAGTTTTAATAATTCTATATCTCTAACATGAAGATTGATGGTAAAGTTCGCTTCTAATTGCCAACCTAATCTGTTTTTAGGTGATTTACGTATTAAAATAAGAAAACACCCTTCCGCATCTACAAATCCTGATATAAATCAGGGTTCATTTAGTTGAGGAAGTTTTTCTATATTTTGGTTAAAGTCTGATTCAGTAGAATAAAGTCGTCTTTGAATAATTTGATAAGAAGGGATTTTAACTTGATAGTTTCTTTCGAAACCCGTTAGAGTACATCTTAAATGTGGTAAATTAGTACCACATCAACTACCGTATACTCGTTGCTCTTTTACAGTAATATTATTACATACTACTGACTTAGATCCGCGATAACCCACGTTCTTTTCAGAAGCCTTCAAGCTTGTTACCATACATGAGTGATTAGTTCATCCACTTATACCCTTTCGAGTATAGCTTGGTACTTGAAGTTCTAGGGAATTTCCGGAATTTGGCAGTTTACTCCCAACAGTCCCCCCCCTCATACACCCTAATCCCAAGCCGGGGGCTGCCCCTGGGGATATAGGGGTGGATGAGGGGGGTAACGAGGATTTCCCAAGTCCTCTTTCAGGAGATCAAAAATGGAAAGGTGCTGCTGAAACTTTAAATAAGAATCCTACACTAAATATGAGTAAAGAAAAATTTAAATAATATGATTTGTATCATGAAGTCATGTTATCATTTACGTCACTAATACTATTAATTATATATAAACCATCCAAACTTGTAGTACCTGAATTTGCATATAGTAAACTTGCACCTAATAAAATAAAGCAGGAGCTAAAGCCACCTAATAAAAAATAAATTAAACCACCTGTGGTAGATAATTCGGAATTTCTATAAATAGTACTTAATATATATAATCCGTAGCTTTGTAACTCTATAGAAAGAAAAATAGAAACTAAATCATTTGTTGACATTAAAAATACTGCTCCGCAAATAACAAATAATAAAATTAAAGGGTATTCTATTATTTTAAGATGTTCTTTGTTAAAAACCTTGAATTTTAAAAAAGGTAATCCTTCAACATTGCTGCTTTTATTGAAGATAATTTTAAAGCAGGTCCTATATTGAAATATCCAGATAAAGAAGGCCACTCACCACTAGAGCTAGTAAAAGTCCGCATACTAAAGCTAGGATGTCCCATAATATCCAATTTTTTTATGGGATCGAAACTTGTTAATTGTAATATTAATATACTAATCAAAAAAATAAATATTTGGAATACTTGTGTTATATTGGTTATATGAAGTAAACCTCCATGTAAACCTACCCCTTTACTTATAATAGATAAACTCATTGTATCATGCAAAATACAATAAATTAATGCTATAATCACAATTCTATTAAAAAGTATGGAAATATCTCGTCTTAAAGTAACGGCATTAGAAAGTAATAAAGACAGTATAGTCATTATTATCATAAATTTGAATAAATTTATTTGGAGATTTAAATAAGGAAAGCTCTGGTCCTACTCGATCAGTGCCCTTCCCCTCCATAGCGCAACGCGAACCTGGGGAGAAAATCGAATTCTCATCTTTAATGTATGAAATTAAGGTTTTACCTTTAAACTACCCAGATTTAAATGATAAATATAATGACGCTCCTCAGTCATGGACTAACTAAAAAGGGGCCCTCCTAACAAAACCCCGCAAGCTTGCGGGGGGGGGGTTTAGAAGTGGGAGGCTAATTTTTGGGCTGGCTTTTTTAAGAAAAAATGCTATTGAGGCAAGCTTCGCCAGCCAATTTTTTGGGCTAGCGAAGCTTAGCTTAGCTTGCTTAATTTTTTTTAGCCGTCCCCCCGCCCTGCAGTACTGCAGGGGGGAAGCTAAAAAAATAAGCGAAGGGAGCCTTCGGCTAGCGTAGCCGAGAAAAAAAAATAAAAAAAATAACCACTTCGTTGAGGGGCGCTCCTAATTTTTAGGAGCCGGAGGCTCCTAAAAAAAATGACACAACTTCGTTGAGGGGGATTGGGCCGCCCCGTCCCCCCGCCCTGCAGTACTGCAGGGGGGGGGAAGGGGGGGCGGGGTCCCCCGAAATTTTGGCTGCGAAGCGAAGCTAAGCGAAGCCACCGGCTTCGTAGTAGCCATCAAAAGGGACAATACTCTGAATTGAACAGAGAACCTACTGTGCCACATACAGTTGCTCTACCGATTGAGCTATATTATCCTTAAATATTATATTATTCATTTAAGACGAGTACGCGGAGCGTACTGAGGCTTCGCCTTAGGCCGGCCCTCGTGCTTGCTTCGCAGTAGGCTGAGCTACATTACCCTTATATCTTAAATTAAATTAAGGGCTAGCGAAGCTCGCCTCTTAATTTATCGCTTACCTTATAAATAAATATCTTTGGCTAAGGCGAAGCCTCAATAAGTGTATCAGGAGCTCAAAAGAAAAAATGACCCTTCGCTCAAAAATTATGAGCTCCTTCGGAAGCTAGCGTAGCGAAGGGGGCTGAATTTTTTTTAGCCGTCCCCCCGCCCTGCAGTACTGCAGGGGGGAAGCTAAAAAAAAAATAATGCCATAATTCCCCCTCCCGAGGGGGGGTAGCGAGATTTAAGATATATATATATATATATAATTAACAAACAAACCAAACAAACAAACCAACCAACAAACCTACAAAACCAACAAACCAAAAAAACCAATAANNA